AAAAAGGGAAAGGGGGATGGAGCTATGTGGCACACATGGTACATGGACTTTTTTTTTTTCATTTTTTGGGAAACAACGCGAGCGGGGGTGAAGTCCCACCGCCCAAGTTTAAGTTTAGAAAACGTAATGTGTGACACCATTTTGACATTAATAAATTCGAAACAAGAAATAAAAAAACTGAAAAAAATCGCTAGAAACAGCTTTTCTCCTTATTTTTTATTAAGTAACTCGGAGAAATGAAACACGTCTGGCACAGTCGGAGTGAATGTCTCCGTGGAAAAGGGAACTTCCCGTGGTGAGGGGACAGGAGGTCACCATTCGTAAAATGGACAGGGACAACATGGATGGCCAGATGCGTTCATTGCCCAAAGAAGGACGAGAGTTTGATGCGAGAGAGCCAAACAGAGCTGTCAGAGCTCCTCCTTTTCAGGGTGCAATGATGTCTTAAAAAAAAAAAAAAAGAAAGGCAAATAAGTTGAGAAATGTACCCTACCCTCTGTAGGGTAGTTTTCTCAATGGAAAATGGTTTCCTGTCCAAACGGAAAGGGCCAAAGCATACGACAAAACGGATTTCACGTCAACGAAAAAATGTACAAAACGACCAAATCTAATAGGTTATTCTCCTGTATTTTGGTACCCTTAGATTCTCAATACATCAACGGCAGAGCTCCGTCCCACCATGCCACCCGCGATAGAAAGCTCAGCGGTGAGAAAACTCGACTTCGGCGGTGGGACTTCACCCCGGATGCTAGGGCTGCTGGTACATGGAATCTTATGCCGCGTGATATGGGCAGACAGGGACGGGGCCGGAGTCTAGGGAAGATCCATGTCAGACAAAGAGCTCAAATGGCAGAATGAAAATGGAGTTGAAGCATGCTATCAGAGTAGATTGGCGAAGGGGGGGGGGGGGAATAAAATAAAAAATAAAAATCAGAGTCGATTGGAGAAGAAAGGCGAAGTCTGGCAAAGGGAGCAGAGGACAGTTGTCTTGGTTTCTGCGATCTTGGGCCCAAAACAGGCAACTTGCGGCAGTTCACTCAACTAGAGGGTTAGTAGCGTCCAAAATGGGCGCTGGACTTCGAAATGGTAGATAGATAGGGGATGGTCATGGGACTGCAAACTCTCAATTTTTTTCAAAATCCTATGTAATTTTCTATATGGGACGCTGGGCCCGGTTCCCAGCACATGCTGCTCCCCACGAATAGATTGGAGCTTTGTTCCCATAAAAAAAAAAAAAAAAAAAAAAAAAAAAAAAAAAAAAAGGGGATGGTCATGGGAGATGGGTAGGTGTTGGACTGGCCAGGGCTCTCGGTCAGTATGGGCAATGAGTAGCGTGTCCCTACTACTAGCCGGGGCACTTGGTTATGTAGGGCTGCGGTTGGGCGCTAGGGGAGTGGCTATAGGAACAGGAGCAAGCCTCCCCGACAGTGATAGTGGTGTCTGCTCTTATCAGCACCCCCAGTACTACCTCGGGTTGTTCATCCAAAAAAAAAAAAAAAAAAAAAAAAAAAAAGCAGCAGGAGCAATGCTCCACGAGGCCCTGCGCCTGGGGGCCGCTGTAGGCGCACTGTAGACGGTGGGGAGTTGATAGGGTGTCCACTTTGAAGGTAGAATTTTTTCAGTTGGAAGGATAGGGGTTATGCAGCTGTGAGGTCAGATAGTGGTGGCAGAGTTTGATCACGCTTGAGGAGAGTAAGCTCGTACTGTAGGTAGAAGTCTGAGCTATTCAGAAGCTATAGACGAGGAGCGGTAGAGAGCAGTATGGTATGGTGGTTTGCGATGACGAGGTTCTTGATTCGGTCCCGGTTTCGCCAGGACCTTCCTTAGCTAAGCTGCGTAATGCTCTCAGTCATCCGGGTTGGACTGTGAGGTCGCTGGCCTCAAATCTTTTTTCCTGTTAATGCAAATGTTATTTTCGTGAAAAAAAGGAAGGGGATTTGTTCATCACCCACTCCGGAAATCCCGCAGCTCGGGCCTACCAGCCCACAATGGCTGGTGCTGCCAGCCAAAAAAAAAAAAAAAGTGCACCGCTGGCAACTTGGAAAAGTCGATGGGCAGTGCAACGCCTCCAGGAGGGAGATCCCACTAGCCATGTACGACGGGCGGGGCACGGGTGGGGGACAGGTGGGTGGCAGCGTGAAATAGGGAAAATAAATGCAAAAACACATTTCATGACCAAACAAATGAAGTAAAAACTGCGAAAAAGGAAAAGAAAGTGCTCTTCTCACGGATGGTGTCTGCTCCAGGCGGGGTGTCAGATGTCAGGGTATGATTCACTGACCATGGCTGTGGCAGTCAAGACGAATGCATGTGAGTGGGCACACGGACCATATTCATTGACAATAGTCTGAGGTTTCCTTGAAATAGGCCGCAGTGCACGCTGTTGGGTTGTTCTGACAGAAATTCTCTTTGGCAAAGGAGGGCAAGAGTAACTCCATACACCATTTGCTGTAGGTGAGGGGATCGAACCCTTCCAAACACCCCCCAAACCACAATCAATTTCCAGCGATGAAGCCATTCGCCTTTGCTTTCGCCATGAGTGAAACGTGTGTGATTTCACGAACCAAAAAAATTTGCTGTGATTTCACGCACGTTTGGGACAGCCACAGGACCCCAACAACAAAAACGAAAGGAAAACCTACCAATGGGAGAGCAAAAGAAAACATCTGAGAGGAGCGCTGGTACCGGGTGAATAGCGGTAGTGCTCCGGTAACAGCGTCGCTGCGCGCTCTCACCGCGCGTAGCGCTGTTTACCTGCGAATCTCGCTGCCAAGACGGGAAGCAGTACAGCGGACATGCCCGCCCGATCGTGGGTGGAGGCCATGCCTCTTGGTATCGTCTGCTTCAAACAGTCCATAGCTAGACTAGGTCAAGTTAGAATCTGCTGATGGACACAAGTACGGAAAGTAACTTGGAGCTGAATGGAAGGAGGTTGAAGTAGAACTTGCGTCGAACTGCTACCCCGGGATCAGTCTCATCGATTGAGCATATTTTCGAATGTACTTACCACAGTGAAGTCCAGTCGCCATAGCCATGGTAACTCCACCGAAGTCAAAACCAAATCAAACAGTAGACGTGAGGCGCTGGTCACACAGGGAACTGCGATGCGCTCACTATAGCTACGGAGGGACGAAGCCCTGCGACATAACTCGAGAGGGGTGTTTTACCTAGTCATTTCGAGAAAGAAAAATGGAAGCGGTAATATAGGGATAAAGCGGGATAATAGACAAGGAGGAGGGGCAAAAGTAAGGAGTAAGCCGCCACCTTCGATGCGTCCCCTTCTCGGTAGAATCCTACCTACCGGGAGTCCTAGATTCGGGTATCTGTCCACAGCATTAATCTGACCAAGACGAGGAGTTCTGATGAAGGTTTCAACCCATCAACAGGGTTGAATCCATCGAACAAGAACGGTGAAAGGTCACCGGTGGAATTTCACGAAGTAACTCGCACAATGAAGGAGATTGGAAGCGAGTAAAAACTCGCACATGTATTGCTCGCAGGGAAATGGGAGAGGTGTTGAGAAGGAGAGACGAAGGTAAGGGGAAAGCCGTCACCTTTGGTGGGTTTCCTCCTTGGTAGAACCCTACCTACCGGCAACGCCGCTCAGTCCAGTCCTTGTTTCGGGTTTGCCTATAACTTTAATCTAACCAGGACGAGGAGATCTCATGAGGGTTTCAACCCAACAACAGGGTTGAATCCATCGAACAGAGTAGCGAAAGATCACTGGTGAAATTTCACGCAGTAACTCGCATAGATAATTACCCGAGCACGCTACCACTCACCGGGGAAGATTGGAAGCGAGTGAAAACTCGCACAGAGACCTCACGAAGAGAATTTGGGGAGGTGTTGAGAAGGAGGGATGAAAGTAAGGGGTAAGCCGCCACCTTCGATGCGTCTCCTCTTCGGTGGAATCCTACCTACCGGCAACGCCGCTCCTTTCAGTCCTTGAGTCGGGTGTCTGTCCACAACATTAATCTGTCCAAGACGAGGAGATTTGATGAATGTTTCAATCCAACAACAGGGTTGAAACCATCGAACAGAATTGTGAAAGACCACCGGTGGAACGTCATGTAGTATCTCGCACAGAGAATTACCCGAGCATGCTTCCATTCACAGGAGGGGATTGGAAGCGACTGGAAGCTCGCACAGGTTTCTCACGCAGGAAATTGGGAGAGGTGTTGTGGGCGAGCTCGCCACAGCTGCCCGAAGATAGAAGGGCGACAAGTATCAGGCATCGTAACTCTAAGGTGTGGTAAGGAGAAGTCTCATCCGGGACCAGGGAATTGAGAGAAGAAAAGTGTATCCGGACGATACCGACGTGAAGGGAAGTAAGTGAGGTAGGAAAGAGAGGGAAGAGGGTAGTGTGCGCACTCATCAGCAAGGGGAAAAGTGGAGTAACTCAATGAGGAATCGGGACAGGATCGAGTAGGTAGTGGGGAAGGACCAGGAACCCATCTACCAGTCGAAGAAGTACCTGGTACAGCCAAAGGAGCTTGAAGCCCAGCGTGACACGGAGTTGATGCTGGAACATACTAGGATAGGAGGAGGGAACCAAAGGGATATAGAGGAGCAGAGATCTGGTAGCTATGCCTTAAAAAGGGTTAAGGGTTGAAAGGAAGCGGTTACCCGAATTCAGTCAGACACTCAAAGAGAAGGGAGAATGACGTGGAGCAGAGAAACTGCCACCTTGTATCACCACTAAGGCCAAGCAATAGTACCCAAAGAGAAGCGGTAGTTCGATGCTCGGTGTACGAGACAGATAAACTTCGAAAGAAAACACAGACAGGAGGATGGATAGATATGCAAGGCAAGAAGACACAGGGACCACCAGTAGGTACATCCCTCCAGTACATCGATCAGAAACAGGAGGGCAGCAACAAGGGGAGGCAACCAGAAGGGACATGACCAGCAGATCGAACGGTCAACGTCCCGCGACAGCAACAAGACAACAGCAAGAGGCAGTGGACAGAGTGAGGGAATCGTTGGGGCGTTGCTACGACGAGGGCATCTGCCCGGACGACCTCAACCTAGGCGAAGTAGTAGAAGATGAGGAAGGTGAACGTTTCGTTGTCAACGAAGCTGTCGACAACATAAAGGAAGACTGACTGAAAGAGAGAACTGTAATTATGATTTTCCAGGAGGAAGCAAGGCAGCTGTCGAGACAAGTAAAGGAGGGCCTGGTCAGGGCCTATGAGGATGGGTGGTTGACACAGAAAATCTTCGATCCAGATACAAGGAGAGGTAGAATCCGGTTCGAAGGCCAAAACGTCATCTCATATGTAGCCAAGGCGAAGGAAGTAGCGGACTGGTTGCTGAGGAGAGGGGAGGAAAAACTGAAACTAGGATCCAAGGAATACCTCACGACCTTCAAACCTTGGATCCCTCGCCAAGAGTTGCGTGACCTGAGACTGCAGGAAGCAGAAGTCAACTTTTGGATAGTGGCATTGCGAGTTCAACTCGATGCGTACTACTATTTATTAAGAGCAGTTAGCGCGATGTTCGGAGAGGTAAAGGCGATGCACCCTCCGGAGTTTGACAGAACGAGGCCGAAGTTGATGAATGTCAAATTTGACATGCACCCGGACACGAGATTCAACGTTGAAGATAGTTTGGTGATCGAATCTCCAAGGGAGAAAGGTGAAAGGTAGAGATAGCAACGCCGTACACAGACTGGTGTAGGAAGTGTAAATGGTACTTCCATACGGAGGAAAACTGTCCGAGGATGAAACAAGAGGAGGAAGGGAGAAGAACTGCTGGTCCAAGAGCCGAGGGGCACAAGGAGAGATTCACGCAGCATATCCTAAGTAAAAACAGACAAGTAAGGGAAGCAACTGGGGTAGCGCAGGGGCAAGGACAAACAGGATCTCAAGGAGGCCAGGAAGAAGGGGCACAGGAACACAGACAATCGCAAGGTCCTCAACAATTGTACCTTGCAAGGCGAGCTTCAAGCCACACGAGCCGTTTACCGGTCCAGGACCAACCCCGCTTGGAACAGCAGAACACAAGACCAGACGGGGACAGGAATGGGGTTCCCCAGACGGGGACAGGAATGGGGTTCCAGGGAAGGCCAGCAGGGACGGGACAGGGACGTCATGCACAACAGAAGTGGTGACTGGAGGAACGACGTACAAATGGCCCCGATGCCATTCTCGGCCCCAGGACCACATCGGAGGGACTGGCCAATCACACCGATCTCGGAACATCCTGAATCCTCGAGACCAACCAGGGAGTTGGAGTGGAGAAAGCAGTTCGCTGGTCGGCAAGGCTACGAAGGGCACAAAGGTTTGCAACAGAGACCAGCTGGGGCACATAGTATCCAACAGGAATACCAGCAGGCGGTATTCCAATTCAGACCAGAGGATATTCAAAGAGAAGGCTTTGACATAGAGTGGCACACTCCAGGGATGCAGCATCTCCATCAGGGCCCTGCAATTCCCCCTGGCCACCCCCAGGCTCATTACCCCTCAAACAACTATGACTGGAGACCTTGGGCTCAGCAGCAATTGATGTTGGAACCAGGTCAGCCGGAGCAGTCGAGATGGGAGGACCAATCAGAGTGCAGGGAGGGAAGGGGAGCTTTCGGCCAACAGGAACCAGTAATGGGACGAAGAAGAAGGAACGGGGCGACGTGGCGTGCGTGGGTGGAGGAGGAGACAAGGAGGCAGAAGGTCTCCAGATCCGGAGAACGGAGGGGATAGAGCAAGAACAGGGCAACCCAGAGATGGGGTGATGAATGCGAAAGGAGGTTTACTCCCGAACGGCCTACTCTTAAGGCCCCAGAGGATGCGCTTCAGGGGGAGCTGTCGAAGACAATCACCTCCCACTCCCGGGTCCGCATGGACAGTGAAGCGGGAGCCAGTCAAATAGGTAGTGAACATTCATCTTCGTCGTTGGAAAGTTTGGCAAACTCAAGACTGCAAGTACGGAAAGGGAAAGGACTTGTGCCTGGGCAGCGAGCAGCGCAAAACAGAAGAGCAGATATAGTCCACAGGGACCAAGCGGTGCTGGTAAAGCGGAGAATAGTGCCCTTGGTGTGCACTCAGGCGCAGGATGGGGCATACTTCCTTGCTCTGTCAGACAAGTCAGGCGGGTCGTTTATCCCATCGGAAGAAGTGGAGAAAACACCCACTCCAACGATGATCCTTCAAGCTACAAAAAGACTGTATGGGGATCATATTCCAGTGCGGATTATACCCAGGTCCTCGATGATCAACATCATCTGCGAGACCTCTCATGGGTACCACAAGTTCTATTTCCGCTTGCTGGATGCGCGGATCCTCCCAGACTCAACAGAAACTCTAACACAGAGAGGTGTCCGCTGACACAACATCAACGTGGTGAGAGAACGAAACGCACAGGAATTGGAACAGATTGGGGTTTTCCACGAGATCAGTGGATTAGTCCTACACAACGTGAATGAAAAGCTACCAGCAGAGCAGAGCCTTCACTCGGACTTCATCTCGTCCATGCTCAACAAGGAATGGCCAAAGAAGTCGCTGTCATCAGCGGTGAGAAGCAGTTCTCGAAGAAGCATCCGCTCCAGCTCCATGCCACAGGCTGAGTCACCAGGAAGAACTGCAAATCAGCACCATCTCCAATCTGGCCAAGAAGACCAATACCGCATCCAGCAGCAAGCGGTCAATCACAAAGTTAATGGACAGACTTAGAATGGCAACATGAGAGGGCTGGGGGACACAGGCGGGCGTTTCAAACGAAAGAGGTTAAAAAGTTAGATACACGAATGGAGAATCAACTCCGTACTCATACAGGAAACCAAGTTGGACGATGGAAAAATCGCGGAAATTAGAAACTGGTGGGACGGCCCGCAGGTTTGGGCCCCGGCGCAGGGTTCAAGAGGGGGGGTGGGGATTCTGTTGCACAGGGATTTGCAAATCAGGTGGTTGATTGAGAGGCAGATATCTGGGGCCGATGGGCCTGGTTCAGGGTAGAAAGAAGAGGGGAGGAATGGGTGATAATGACGGTCTACGCACCTACGGAGGCGGGAGAGAGAGCAAAATTTTTCACCAACTTGAGCTCAAATATTCCAAGAATAAATAAGGTGGTGATAGCAGGTGACTGGAACCTGTCGCTACACGAGGCTCTTCAACCAGAGTCCAAAATAGCGGACAAGAAGGATGTACAGGCTCTGCTGGAACTGACTGAAGACTTGAACCTCGCAGACCCTTACAGATTGTTGTCCCCGAATGACCCAGGCTATACCTGGCAATCACACATACAGCGCCAAAGGGGGGTGGTGACCAGGCAAAGACTGGACTATTTTCTGACTACCAACTCAATCACAGAGGGGGTCACAATGGTTCARCAGATCTGCAACCCGTTGTCGGACCATAAACCGGTGATAGCGGATATCAGACTGAGTTCAAGCAGCGATCGAGGAAGGGGGTTCTTTCGACTGAATACCCAGACCTTAGAGGACCCTGGTCTCAGGGACTGGGTGTGCCAGCACATGGCTTCTTGGGAGGAGGCTAAACACTTGTTCCAGACAACAGAAGACTGGGCGGACGGCGGGTTGGCCATAATCTCAGGGATTCTCAACATCAGCTCCAAGATCCTCGTGAAGTCCAGAAACCAGAAAGAAGCGGAATGCAAACGGAGGGTGGAGGAAGCGGAGGAGAGAATGGAAGGTCACCCAATATCTGCACTGGCCTCGGCGACAGAAAGAGAGAGGAGGTTAGAGGAGTGGGAGAACCTGCAAACAAGGAAGGAAAGAAGATGGATGAAGTTGTTGAAAGAGAAGGGCATAAAGACAAGCGATAAGATGAACAAGGAGACATTTCAGAAACTGCTCCCTAGAAGATCGATGCAGCAAATGGTGGAACTGAAGCACCCTTTCGACGATACAGCCCCAACAGCCTCCACAACGTCTGGAATGTTGGACTATGCCAAGATGTACTACGCAGACATACTCACGACGCGCAGACCCCAAGATGGGGTGGACACAGATCTCACGGAGGTTTCAGATTTTTGGGAGGACACCCAAGTGAAACTAGCTGCAACAGCAAGACTGGACATGGACAGACCGCTTACCTTGGAAGAAACTATGCAAACGCTAAAGTCCATGGCGAGAGGGAAATCCCCTGGGATAGATGGCCTAACAGTGGAATTCTACGTCAAGTGTTGGGAGACAGTAGGTCCACCACTAGTGGAGCTATTCAATGGAGTGCTGGTGGGAGGGAAATTGGGTAAGAGGATGACACGTGGCGTGATCTCAGTGCTGTTTAAAAAGGGGGACGAGGCGAAGGTGCGAAACTGGCGCCCAATTTCCTTGCTGAACGTGTCTTATAAAATACTGGCCAAGACGCTAGCAAGAAGGTTGGGGAGGTATCTCCCTGAGATGGTGAAGAAAGACCAGGGCGCTTTCGTGCAAGGGAGATCCATTTTCAACAACATTGCGACAACAATCGAAGTCCTAGAGGTGATACAAGCAGAGAATCTGGACACAACGGTACTCCTACTGAATCTGGAAAAGGCCTATGACAAAGTAGGGTGGACGTTTGTCATGACCACTCTAAGACACATGGGTTTTGGGGAGGGTTTCTGCAAGTGGGTAGCAGCCCTGTACACCTTCTCCACTTCAGTGGTGATGGTGAACGTGCACCTATCCCAACCATTTAGACTCACAAGATCGCTGAGGCAGGGCTGTCCACTCGCCCCCTTGCTGTTTGTACTGCAGATCATGGAGGTCCTCATGAACCGTATCAGGAAGCACCGGGTGATCAAAGGGCTTACGTTGAATGAGACGGCGGAGTTCAGGGTCAAAGCGCTGACGGACGACCTGTTTGCAGTCTGTGAGAATACATTGCCAATAATGACAGCGTTAAAAAGCGTCATGCAGGAATATTCAGTCCTATCGGAAGCGTCCGTGAACTGGGTCAAGTCCGCATGCCTCTTGCCAGCCCAGTTCAAGTTGAGCGTAGAGTGGGGAATGAAGAGAATAGAAGAGGGGGAGGAGGAGAGATTCCTCGGAGTGTTGATAAGTCTGCAGGTAGGCTGTTCCTCACATAGCCTTCTCCTTCAAAGCCGGATAACAGCCAAACTGTCGATGTGGGGGATTGCATGGCATTTGTCGTTGATAGGACGGGCGCTGGTGTCAAATGTAGCGTTGTTCTCAATCCTCTGGTTCGTGTGTACGGTGAAGGAAATGGCGGCGGGCATTCTCAAGACCATTCAAAGACTGATCGCCCGCTTCCTCTGGAAACCGTACGCGAAGAAGGATGAAGGGTTCATAGCAAAGGTGACATGGGAGCTCCTAACCTTCCCACGAGAACAGGGAGGTCTAGGACTATGGGATCCGGCACAGAAGAACCAAGCGCAACTCAGAGGTTGGGTGTGCAAGGCTGCTGTAGCTGAAGTCAAAGAGGATTGGGTACTTCTAGCAGAAAGATTGCTGATGAGGGAATGGGATCTCAACAGGCCGGAGGATGTCTGGGTGGGTTTCCTCATGGACTCCTTCAGAAGGAAACGCCCAAAGTCGCTGTTTTGGAAGGCGATCCTGAGAGCTTGGAAGAACCTCCCGCCCGACGTCCCAACACCACCGCAGACCAAAGAAGAGGTGCTCGCCCAACACCTTTTTGAAAACCCTCGCGTTCGCTCTCAGGGAGGGACTGTGCTCCACGCAGATGGCTCGACAAGTTCTTTTGGTCTCGCCTGGATAAAGAGGGGAGTCTCCAGAGTTAGAGACATCTGGTCCTCCCTGCTGGGTCAATGGGTACCTCTAATGGAGCTGATGACTCACCTGAACGACCTTAGGAGGGTGGAAGAGAATTGGAATATGCTGCGAGAGGCCATCCCGCAGGGCTGGCTGATCATCCTAGGACCGGAGAAGGTGGATCCAACAGGCACTTGGTATGCCGCAGAAGATCAGGAAGAGGACTGCGTAGCCTGGAAAGTGGTAGGGATCACTCCAAGTGGCTTCAGAAAGGTGGAGGAATGGCAAGGGGGGAAACAGGGAAACAGATTGACATTCATAAGGGAAGACACAGTGCAGAAGTGGAGTAACCTGCCGCAAATTCGAGTGGTGGAAAGACAAGCCACCAAGAACTCTCAGGGAGAAGTCATCTGGATTGGCAAATGCACTCTCAGACAGCTAAGGATTGACCCGCTCGCCTGGAACTGGAGCAGACCGACTACGGACAACCGGTCGAATCCTCTGTTGCCCATGCTGGACTACAACGTGAGTGAAGGCTACAATCTGGCCTCAAAGGCAACCAGAACCCCGGCTGCAGTGGCCGTTTCCAGGTGGGAAAAGGTCCTGGGCTCAGACCCCAAGCTGTTGGAGGTCAATTTCAGCAATTTATGGAAAGCCCTGTGCGCAATGCCCAATGGTAAACAGGTAAGCATCCTGTGGCTATTGTCTCTAATGGTTACACCGTCAGCTGTCTGGTTGCTGAGTCGGGGAGTAACCGTGGAACTGGGTTGCACCAGATGCCGCTGGCCTTTTGAATCTACCAAGCATCTGTGGTGGGAATGCCCGGCATCCAAGCGGGTCTGGAGGTGGTGGGAAACACACTGGAAGGAAATGGGGGAAGGATTACTAAACTGGGATGAGACCTGGGCTCTGCTGGGTTTTCTTCCCATAGGGTTGAGTGGGAAGTCAGGTTGGGGTTACGTGGCACATGTGTCTAGGGGCATTATCTGCGAGGTAATCTGGGCAGACAGGAATCGGGCGAGGTTCGAAAAGCGCCCGCTGTGGGACGTGGAAATTAAAGGTAGAATCAAGATGGGTCTCAAGCATGCCATCAGAGTGGATTGGAGGAGGAAGGCCAAGGCGGGAAGAGGCAACAGGAGACAGAGAGCCTGGTTCCAGCGCACATGGGCACGCCATGAGAGGTTGGCAGTGTTGCACCCAGAGAATGGTCTGAGAATCTCAGACTGGGTCACGAAGCAGAGTAGCAAGGGAGATGGATAGCATATAAGTCTGGGACTTCAGGATAGGTAGGTAGTGGCAAGGCCAACTCGCTGGGGAGACCTGGGCACTCGGTTCCCACAGGGCAGACTTAGTTAGCCAGAGTGTCTAGCGGAACCAGGACACTCAGTTCTTCAGGGCCACAGTGGGCCAGTTAGGAGAGTGTCGGGCTGCTGGGACCCGGGTCAAGGGACCGGGTCCGCTGGGCCGCCTTAGTCCCAGCTTAAACATTTGTAGTAGCAGTGGTTGGAGTTCACTTGAGTGTAGAACAGTTAAGAGTCACAGGCCAGGAATCACAGAAGTTAAAGGCTACCTCCTGAACGCAAAACTATCCGAATTGTTACCAAATGATCATGCAATGACTTAGTTCGCACTTGGAACTCGGTAGTGCGGGTTCCGCAGGCTACGGCCTGTAAGCTAAGCTGGCTGACGCTGTCAGATAACCCGGGTTGAATTGTGAGGTCCCCGGCCTCAATTCTGATGTTCTTGTAATGAATTGTGTTTTCTGGTTAAAAAAAAAAAAAAGAAAAAAAAAAAGAAAAAAAAAGAAAAGAAAAGAAAAGAAATTCAAAACATCCTTTTCCCAGGCTTAATTCGCAAAAACAGGCTACCGCTGATTTCCTGCCAAATCCACGATACCTGACAGTCACACACCTTAAACACTAATCCACATACATCGGTAGTGGGATCTCCCTCCAGGCCCGGGTGTTCTGCTGGTTTAAAATTTGAGGATATTTTATTAAATTATTAATTCAATTTAATTGCACAACCTTGAAACTTACTGTTCAGGAACTTTAGGGTCGTTTTATGGGTCTCAAACAACCTTCGCTGAATGCACTTTGCTCTCTCTCTCTCTCTCTCTCTCTCTCTCTGAGTGAGGGAGACGGCATAACTTCCAGCAGATGGTATGCCCTCTTCACACAGAAAATTGCCCTAAAAAGCTAATTTCAATTTCATGCAGTTAAGCCACCCATGCCTTTCCCAGCCATGCAGCCGCAACTTTTGGGGCTCGGGCTCATGAGGACAATGGCTGGCGGCACCAGCCAAAAGGAGCCGCACACCGGTTTGTTTGTTTTTGGCATGCTTGGCATTTACAGCCCCAGAAAAAAGTGGCTCGGAAGTACACTGGTGGTTTAAACCACGAGCACTTCTCCCAGCCAGCTTTTCACAGACGCGGCTTGCATGCCGTGGCAACTTTCGGGGTCGGCCGCGGCGCCGCCACATCCAAATGGATGGCTGCACCAGGCAAAAGGAGGCCCGGGCCAATTCGTTTTTTTTTTTGTTGGCCTGCAGCACGTTTGCATCCCCCGAGAAAAGTGGCTTGGAAGTACCAGTAGTTTAAACCACAAGTACACAGCCGCAGGCTCGGCCTCAGCCTTAGCCTCAGCCTTGCAGTCCGAAACTTGTCGCCACAAGAAAAGGAGGCCGGAATGTCAAAGTCTGGGCCGGCCGTTAATAAAATTCAATCGGCGGTCGCATTTTTGTTTTGCAACTCCAGAATTTGAGGTGTCGGGCCCGCGACCCAGGTGCCCATGTACTGGTGCCTTAAGGAGATTCATCAACTTTACCCCTACTAAAGGGGAAACTACACGGGAGTCACAAAAACGAGTTATAAGTTATAACTTATTTTGCACTATTTTTTGGGCCAAGATACAGTTTCGAATTGCAGTTCGGGCAATGTATACAACCCAGCTTTCTGGCCAGGTAGGGTGCCTGAAGTGCAATTGCAAACTGTATATCTTGCCTCATAGTGCAATTATAACTCGTTTTCTTTGTGACTCTACTGTAATTACCCCCTAAAGGGGAAACTACGTGGGGGTCACAAAAATGAGTTATAATTCTCCGTCAATTCTAACTGGACCACACAGTGGTCAATTCGTTGTTGTTCTTGTTATTATTATTATTATTATTATTGTTTTTTTTTTTTTTTTTTTNTTTTTTTTTTTTTTTTTTTTTTTTTTTTTTTTTTAAACAAAACATCCACAGGATGCCTATTATTGGAGGTGATTATTGTTGTTGTTGTTGTTGTTGTTGTTTTTAAGCCCAGGCTGTTCTAGAGGCCGGATTACAAAGCGGTCAATTCGTAATGGCCTGCAGCACGTTTCCAGCCCCGGAGTTAAGGTGCTTCTCTCAATCCTTCAACGCTTGCCAGTTTGCCCTCTCACCCCCCTTCCGCCCTCCATTTCCGTCCTCTAGACACCTCCAGCTCATTACTTGTTAGGTCAGGATTTGATGGTGGATTCTAGGAAGTGGATGTTTTTCTCCTCCCCCCCCACCTCCATCTGTCCCCCATTTTTTCCCCCGAGTCTTTCTGGGAATTCAAGACCATCCCCCACTCCCCTTCTATTTTAGTGAAGGCCCTCCCAGCTAGACAAGAGCTGATTTCTTGGCCAGGCACAGGCCAGTCACTACAGTTTCCAAGTGGTCAGCAGTCCAAAAGATCAGCAATGCAAATTACCCCTGTGGGGTCATTCATCCCCTTGATAAAATAGCCTTGTGTGGCTTCCGTGTGCCTAACAAAGTCCTTTCAGTGCCTTCACAGCTTGGTGGTAGGGTGATGGTCCTGAGTGCTGGTCACACTGAGGTAGGATAGTAGGGACACAGGGTGCACTGGGAGTATTAATGTGGGGATGGGTAGGGTAGGTGGCCTAACCTGTCAGGACAACCATTGGGTGCCACTGCCAGCAATCACAGCGGGTCTGGTCCTTGGCCTCTACAACACCCTGAGCTTTTTGAAAGAAAAAAAAAGGAAAAAAAAAAGAAAAGAAGAGATCAAACTGGATTCGAACGCGGAACCTGGCCCGAGTCACAGCTTGGCCGCAGCTTTATGAAGTTTCCCAGAATGTGACAGCCCGCTTGGCAGAGGGTCAGTGCCTGATTCATCAAGTGTGTGGGGCTCACAAATGCACCCCATGAAGTTGCAAGCATGAGGGGACAAATCTCGTGTTGACACATTGAAGCTCAGGTGGGGCACCAGTTGAGTTGTCCATTTTCCTCTCTCCAGGTTTTTTTTTTTTTTTTGTGTGTGTGTGTGTCTGTGTGTGGAAAATCTTCTGAGCAGGGTTGGCCATTTAGAGGGGTGGCAGGAGCAGCCTCCGCCTAAACGGTCACCCGCGTTGAAGGCTCCAGCCTATTGGTGGGGAGCTTCACCTGCCGGAAACCAGGTCCAACATCCCATTGCTGTACAAAACAGAGATATGGTGAAATAGGGAGCAGGAAGTAGGGGATGTGATCTGAGTAATGACAGCATGACTGGGTAAACCCTTCTGAGACTTCTCAGCTTCTATGGCTGCCAGAAGTGTGCAGGCTATGCTAGCTAGTTTCTATCCATAGTTGTGGGCCCAACTCCTTCCTTGTGTCGCTGCTTGCTGCCTCCTGTTGTCGCTGCTTGCTGCCTCCTGTTGCTGTTCTGTTTTGTCGTTGTTTTCTGGACCGCCAGACATTAGAAACTTCATCTGCCATACGGTTAGCTCGATGCAGTCCTCCCCCCCCCCCCCCCCCCCCACCCCCGGCCGCCTGGAGACAATGTAGCTCCGCCAGGGATACATTATGTGGGGGGAAGGAGTCAGAGAAGTGCGAAGGCCATCGCAACGGGAGGGAGGGGTCAACTGTTGTCCCCTCCTGGAACTGACATTTCGTTAGACATTTTTTTCTAAATTCACGAAATTGAGCGTATAAAAATACAAATTTTTTTAGTGTTTTTTTGTCCCCATGACGTTGGATGATCAGATCATCGGGTGTCGTGGCGACTCTCGATGATCTGACCATCGGATGTATGCTAACGGTACTTTACGTTGAGGTACATCAGATGGACAAAGTGAGATAACCACTTTCTCACCTGATGAGCAATGAAATTTTGACTAAGTCCACTTTCGTGAATTTAGAAAAAAATGTCAGTTTTAATGAAATGTCAGTTCTGGAAGAAGAGTTTGTAGTTTCGTGCGGCCCGGGCTTGCTGATCCTCAGTCTGCCAGCCATCCACAGTTGGCTGCTGCCACACACCCCTCCCATTTCCCTCCAAGCCAGTCCGTGCAGAATTTTGTGATTTCTTTCTGTAGATCCTTCCTTCATGTGAGAAGTCTCAACTTGTTTTTTTGTTTTTGTTTTTTTTAAACAACAACTTGTTTTTCACCCTTTCCCACCTCGCTATTGATTCAACTTCAATCTGTTGCTGTGTTGTTTCAGTGAGTTCTCTCTCTTGCAGTTTCGCCCCCTCCATTACATGTGTGCATCTTTTCCACCAGACCGTCCTTTGTATCGCTCTCCTCCTGAGGTTGAACGTGTAGGTGGTGAAGGTGTCTGTTTGTGTTGTCCAGTGGCCGTATAGGATAGGGGGCAAAGGAATCGAGCTAGCGCTAGCAGCCTGCGCCAGCCAACTGACGCGGCTTGGTTGCACCTGGCTCAACCAGCATCTGGGGAGGTTTTTCTCTCCCAGGTTGCTGGGCCTGTTGACGCGCCCGACACGTGGCAGTATTGTCATGCGTGACGTGGCTGTTTCGAAGGAGGACGACGCGTGTACAGGGGAAGTGCCGGCCAAATTGTTGACTATCTTCATTAGAAGCGCGATGGATTCGGAGGGGATACTACAACGAGACGTGGCGGTGTGGCTTGACATCTTGGCGGTGGCCCATCAGCAGCTGCAGGAGACGGTGGGTGAGCTGACTCAGCGATCTCAAGAGCTGCGGGTGATTGAAGGGGATGCGTTCCCCCTGGCCGAATGGGTGGATCACCGCTCGCAACTCATGTCAGATATAATCTGGGAGCTGGAGGAGCTGGAGGATAATCTGGGAGCTGGAGGAGCTGGAGGATAATCTGGGAGCTGGAGGAGCTGGAGGAGGGGCTAGATCCCGGGCTTGAACCTTACATTGATTGGCGGAGGGCGGAGGCTGAGCTGGCGGCCTGCAAAGGAGGGGCTAGATCCCGGGCTTGAACCTTACATTGATTGGCGGAGGGCGGAGGCTGAGCTGGCGGCCTGGAAAGCCCTTTTTCGCAAGGGCCGGGATGCGTGTGAATTAATGGAGGCTTGGTCCTCCGGGGGGTTGCTCACTGGAGGGTTTGTAGGGAGGACGCTCATGGCGGCCGGCGGTTTGCACGTAGCGATTGGGGAAGCAGATCGGACAGCGCTGGTGAATACAACGTCCGCTATAATCAACAACAACATCAACAACAACGATGACAACATCAACAACAACAACGACAATGACTCGAGTGCAGAGGGTGAGGAGGCTGACAGGCTGGCGATGGCGATCGCAGACATCAGCACTAAGGACTGTGTTGTCTACTACGGCGGCAACGTTCGATCTTCGTCAGCATGGAGACAGCTCGGTTGGAATTTGCGGAGGTTTGGGCGAATTTCATTTTTCCACCCCACGAGGTCGGCATGGCTTTACTTTCGTCCATGCTCCGAAGTTTGGCCTCGCGAGGGGATTGGGTGGTTGATTGCCCCTTATTGATTACAGCCGACGGGGCATGGGCTGTCTCAGTGGGTAGGGTGGGTAATGGTTGAGGGGTTGCTAGGATTGCTGTCTTCTAAAGTAATTTTCGACTCTCCTGATTTTTTACATACGCTTGTTACCTTGATAGATGGCTTTTTACATTTTTCACAATTTCACGTGCATTTTTTTGTACACGTGTACACCATGCTACACTTGGAGGTAGGGAATTGTGCCGCGTCACTCTACGAGGTAATTAGAGTACATTAGAGCTGGAGGTCAATCCTTCCCTTATGCAGGGAAGTAATCAATGCCTCGGCTCTTTTCTGAGATGTAGGTGCGAACACATAATAGGGAGGCTGGTCCCGAATTCCAGCTCTTTTTTTTTTTTTTTTTTTKGGGGGGGGGGGGGGGKGGGGGGGACAAATGCTCCAGTCTATTCGTGGGGAGCAGCACGTGCTGGGAACCGGGCCCAGCGTCCCATATACAAGTACACAAGTCATTTGAGATACTGGCGCCATTACCCGGCTTCGACTGAGAATCAATCTGAGAACTATTGAGAACTATTGAAGAAATTCAAGAGAACTAAAAAGAGGTTGAAAAACTATGAATGACTACTGACCTCTTTTCAAATGCTTAGAATCCCTAGACTCCCAAACAAAACTCTCTAAAGCTGTCCAACGCTGTCTTATTCCTGTCGGGCTCTCCCAGGCCTCACACTCCCACTCGGCTAGGTTACAGAGCAACACGACTCGCCCCAGCTCTGTCAGCGTCGTCCCAACAGCAACCCTTGGTTGTCCCTTGGAATGCCCACCCCAAAGCATCCCCAGATCTCTCTACCAGGCCTCACACTCCTGCAGTCAGGAGGTTACAGGGCAACACACCAGCACCGGCCAGCGTCGTTCTGGCATCGAACAACCGCAGATCCATGAATGTACCAGTATCAAACAGCCTAGAGCGAGTTGCTGGAAGTCCCCAGAATCCTAAAGCATTCTCTTTCTTTTTTTGAGAGCACATACAAATTTTTTTTTTGAGATACCGGTGTGAGGAAACCCGGGGAGGTGGACGCCTGCCGCTCGCTGAAGCCAAGGGCAACAGCGTCTGTCACCCGCTGCGCCCGCTTCGGAGGTCCTCAACGATCGACAGGGAGTGGGATTCAAACTTGCCTATCAAATTCCCACTCGGAGACTAAGCTTTGACATCTTTTGCAATCGGACCGATAATGATGATAATAAAAAAAAATAATAATAATAATAAAGTAATAGTAACAATAATAATTATACTCCCTCCTATTCCCGTGTCTCTGCTCTGCAAACACTAGAAGTGGTTCGAGGACACTATGCCATCCGATTCAAGCTGTAGAGTAGAAACCGCTTTCGCTATTGAGCCGCATTGAAGCGACCGAATAGTAAGGCGTCATCAGTTGTTCGAAGATCCCAACGGTCAATACGTCTACCTTGATGTAACCCTACTTATGAACAGCTAATGCCTGATCTGTCAATAATCAGCCAGTGCCTGTTCTGTTAATGAGCAGTCAGTGCCTCATCGGCCAATAAGCGGCACATGACTGGTCGATTAATGAGGAATGAGTGTTTGAACCGCTGATGAGCAGCAAATGCTTGATCTGCCAATCAGCAGCCCGTGCTTGATCTGTCCATGAGGAATGACTGTTTGACCTGCCGATGAGCAGCCAAAGCCTGATTCTGCCAATAAGCAGCCAGTGCTTGATCTGCCAATGAGCAGTAGGAAGCTGATATGGCTATCAACAG